TAGGTTAGAAACTGTCAAATGTCAAAATTAAATATAACGATTTTTTGATAAATATTGAAATTATCTGAATAAGAATCAAAAATGTTACAATTTGATACCAAACATGATATATTTTAGTTAAAAAGTAAAAAAATTTGGTTTGAAACTGTTAAATGTCAAAATTAAATATAACGATTTTTTGATAAATATTAAAATTATCTTAATAAGAATCAAAGATGTTATAATTTGATATCAAACATGATATATTTGAGTTAAAAAGTAAAAAAGTTAGGTTAGAAACTGTCAAATGTCAAAATTAAATATAACGATTTTTTGATAAATATTGAAATGATCTTAATAAGAATCAAAAATGCTTTAATTTGATAAAAAAACACGATATATTTGGGTTAAAAAATAAAACAGTTTGGTTAGAAACTGTCAACTGTCAAAATTAAATGTAACAATTTTTTGATAAATATTAAAATTATCTGAATAAGAATCAAAGATCCTATAATTTGATACCAAACATGATATATTTAAGTTAGAAAGTAAAAAATGTAGGTAAAAAACTGTCAAATGTCAAAATTAAATATATCGATTTTTTGATAAATATTCAAATGATCTTAATAAGAATCAAAAATGCTTTAATTTGGTACCAAACATGATATATTTGGGTTCAAAAATAAAGAGTTAGGTTATAAACTGTCAAATGTCAAATAACCGCCATTTTTTTTTTGCTAAAAATTAAGATATCTCGATAACCGTTGGAGATAAATAGGTCGAGTTTGGGTTCATCTTAAAGGATTTTTAATTTTGTATCCATTTATGTTAAAAAAGGAACACCATTGCAACTAAAAAAAATTCTGAATTAATCCCTATTAAGAAATAAATACAAAATTTGGTTATGTCCGGCTAATCGGGCGTGCTCAGCAATGTTGGTTTTTGTTCGCAAGCATAATATATTTGGGTTAGAAAATAAAAAAGGTACGTTAGAAACTGTCAAATGTCAAAATTAAATGTATCGATTTTTTGATAAATATTAAAATTATCTGAATAAGAATCAAAAATGCTATAATTTGATACCAAACATGATATATTTGGGTTCAAACACGATATGTTTACGTCAAAAAACAAGAAAGTTAGGTTATAAACTGTCAAATATGTCAAATAACCGCCATTTTTTTTTTTTTTTCTAAAAAGTAAGATATCTCGATAACCGTTGGAGATAAATAGGTCGAGTTTGGGTTCATTTTAAAGGATTTTTAATTTCATATTCATTTATGTTAAAGAAAGAACACCTTTATAACAAAAAAAAAATTCTGAATTTATCCTTATTAAGAAACAAATACAAAATTTGGTTATGTCCTAATTAATCGAGCGTGCTCAGCCGTGTTGGTCGAATGTAGTATACACATGTTCATAACTTTGGATTAGTCAGTCGCTGACCACTACTCGGGTATCTTCTAGTTCTAGGTGTAGTGTTAGTTCCACTTTTAGTTCTACAAAAATATACAATAATCTAGCACTGATTGACAGTTAAAACTAGAACTACTCTATTTGATTTATATATCGTATAAGCAACTCGGGGAATACCCGAGTTTATTTATGAACATGGAATAATAATAGAATATTAGAATTATAATTAATTAATTATTAAGAATTATAATAGAATAATAGAATAGAATATTAACACTAGACCTAGAACTAGAAATATCTAGTCTCAACACTCTGTCTAGTGTTAGTTCTGGTCCTCTACATTAACTACATGCGGTCGAATAGCTGGAGCAGGATTACCTGTTTCTCGAAATCTTCTGAAAGAATCGCCAAAAACTGAATACTATGGCAAATGACGCTGTAGAAATCTTTTTTGACATTCTCGTACTGATTGTCGAGCATTTCCATTGCAAAAACCATACACGAAAATTATATCAGCATACTCTTGTATGTAATAATTCAACCTTACAGCAAACTGACATATTACAATGACAAGTTTGTTTTTGTTGAATGTTTGATTTTACTGACTATTAATAAATTCGCTGCAGAAAACTTTAAAGTGTTATAATTTCGTAAATAATTGAAATGGGACATATGTTCATTAACATTTTATTTTGGTAATTCGATTAGCTATCATATGTCAAAATTTGGTGGTGAGCTGGAACTGTGGAACTGTTCGGAACTACAAAGCTCTTGAACAAAACAGGCCTATACAGTACTATCTCTGCATGGTAGATGTTGTTGCTCAGCATAATTGTTTAGGAACTTCACAACATACTTTGTGTCAGCAAATGAAGTAGTATTCTTAGCAATTTCATTCTTAGCAACAAATCCACTGTCATTGTACATTTTCAAAATTCGTTTTAATCCCTTTGTTTTGAGATTAACCTGCTGACCTTTGATTAAATAAGTAGTTTGTGGTTGTTTTCTGGCAAAATGTTTCTTGTGACTAGGTTGGGTTTGATCAGAATCATGTCTCAAACATCGCAGTTGACCCAAAATGTTATGTTTACGTGATCCCAATAATTACAGCAGCTTCAATTGGCTATTTAATGAGAATTTAGTTGCGCACTTAACTTTATAGCTTCTCCAAACAATCTACAATTAGCTGGCGGTTGTTTTCATTGGCACAACTACGTAAATTATCATTGACTTCTTCTAAAGCTACTATTTCGAGATCTTCGTCTTTTTCGTCAACGATTTCTAGATCATTTATTAAATAGATAATATTAATCGAGGTTTTAGTTGCAAAATGGTGGAGGCGCCGGTTAGTTTTCAGTTAAGGAAAAGACAACAAGAAGGATATAGGGATGCAGAAACACCCTCCTAGGGTATCTATCGTCTCTATCATTTGTCAACGTGGTGGGGGTACGTGGTGGGGCGCGGAACCCCGTGGAATACACGAAGACCCGCTGTTCAGTCTGAACTAGACGTACGCGTCCGTGCAAGCGCCCCCTCGCTTCCAAGTTGAGTTGAAACGTGTTTTTTTTAGTGTTTCAATTAATTTATTTCGGGAATTAAAATCAAATTAGTTTTATATTACAATAGAACATACAAGATTATTATTGCATAACTGAATAATTTCCTGTATGTTAATAACTTAGTACGTAATTGTGTTGGGAGTTGTCACAAACAATAATTATTATTGCATACTACACGTACTAAATTAAACTGTATTATATTATATTATATTATACAGGGTTGCTAATTTAATTGGAACATGTTTGAAATGTCACCAAAAGGCTGACTAATGGTTGTGATAAATCTAAAGAGTTCGGAATATATTAGGGTGAAAAACCCAAAAAAAAATCTCCGATTTGTTTATTAAAAGATGGTTAAATTCGCTTTAAAAAAATGAGCGGAAACAATTCAACATTTTTCGCGATTAATAACTTAAACAATAACAACAACGAAAATGAAGCGAATTCCCCCAACGATAACAACGTTAATAACAACAGAAACAACAACAATAACGCCAACGGGTACAGATTACTTTCAGCCCAAGGGATGCAGACTTTACAGACATTCCTTAGGGAGCACGGAAACGATTGTATCAAACAGTTCGTTAAGGTATGTAACAATTTTTTTAGAAATAAAACAAATTCTTTCCGGCAAGAACAATACAAAAAGAACATCTCGAATAAAGATAAATTTCTACTACCGCAGAAAGAAGTAATTTATTTAAAGTAAAAACATCTAGATGTTGAGACGTTGAGTGCGCGCGAAAAAAATCCGCCGCAATTAAAGTCGCCGGATGTTTCTCTAGCTTCGCGCGGAAAGAGCTTAAGGGGGTGGCGTCGAAAGCCGTTGGTTAAAGCTTGAAGCAGAGGGATCTAAGGGGGGAACGGTTCGCTTTTAGCGAACTCGGCGAAGCGTGCATCCGCGAAAAGAGGCGAGAACACTTTCCGGAATTGCCCTCACCCGAAAATTTTCAACTTCACCGGCGAAAAGCTTGCCGCAAGCGAATATTAAAAATTTAACACGATTAAAACCCACCCCCATCTCATAGAGAAAAGCTTCTCTTTTCTGAGTAAATGCGTGACGATAAATATTAGCTCAGCACTCGGTTCGCTCACTCATAAACGAGGGGGGGTGCTAAGCAAACGAATTTTCGAAAGCTCCGGGGCGAAAGTTTTAATTTTCCGTATTGGAAATTTTAATTTTACCGCGTTGCNCTTTTTGGCGTCCTTTTGCAACTGATTGTAAGTTTCCCCGAGTTGGTTTTTGTTCCTGGCAATAATGACGATGTCATCCGCATAAGCAAGGATCGTCTTGGATGTTTGTTAGTGTCGCTTGAAGTGTCATGTTGAATAACGTGTCTGAGAAACTCTTGCCTTAGCATTCTGTAGCGTAGCTCTTGTCGATCTGACAAGTTTTTTTTTGATATGCCACTTCGCACCATGAAAAGATCTAATTTTTCCTTGAGTAAGCTGTCAAAAGCCCTGCGGAAATCCATAAATATAGCGTAACATTTTTCAAATATCTGGCTGACAACAAAAATCTGGTTTATCGTTCCTCCAATGATTTCTTCCGTGTAAGGTGTTAGACAGTATGATAGTAGGATATTTGAGAACACCTTATAAGCAATATTCAGCAACGTAATTTCCCTATAATTATTACATTCGAGTTTGTCTCCTTTTTTGTATACTGAGTTGATGATGCCTCTTTTCCATGTATCAGTAATGATTTCACTTTCCCAAATATCTTTTGTAGCTCTTTTGGTCTTCCATTTTTAAACATTTCGCTAGGGATATTGTCCATATCGGGTGCTTTAAAGTTTTTCATCCTCTGGATCTTCTGGATTGCTTCTTCGACACCGGCAAGTGTCAGCTTGTCAGTGAGCGGTTCTGCCGTTTGTGTAGTTTCCTCATCGTTGTTGATCCATTTAGCCATTATATCATCTTCATCTCCAAGCAGTTTGCCATTCTTGTCTTTGCATCCATTATATTGTCTTTCCTCCATATCCGGAGGAATACCATAATCTCCATAAATTACATCTGATCCTTTTATAGCCATCATGCATCTCCAAGCGGAGTAGGAATTCATCACTGAACCCCACTGCCATGTCACCTACTCTAAACATTACTTGTTGAGTCGTTGGTGGTAATACAAAATGTAGTTGATAAGGTTGCCAGTAAAAAGCCATTAACAAGCAATTAATTTTATACTGAAGAATTGGGTTCTTGTTGTCATTAATCATTAAAGATAGCGGTCCTGCACTTCATCTATGCTTCATTGCCTAACTTTCCGTTCTATGACACTCCTGTTCCATCCGAGTCCATGGCTATGAGAAAATCAATTGCTATCTTTTAGTGGTTAACGTTTCTGACATCAACGTCTATAACATTTGTTCCTGAAGCAGAACTCCTCTTGGTATCAGGTCGTAAGATGTTTCACCAATCGTAACATCAACCTCAGTTTCGAGGAAGTTTTATTGTCTAACGATTTCATCAGCGAAAGATGATGGAAAATTGGCTCTTTGAAGCAGCTCATACATGTAAGGTTTAACATCAATTAACAACTGTGGGGTAAGCCATATCTAACTATGTGTTACGTTTTTAACGTCTAACTTACCGAATTTATGTATCTGTAAAGATTCTATGATAGATTCCCTTGTTGAAATAATGTGAGTATTTGTTTAAATTTCAGTTTTCGAAAACATAAACTATACTGTCAAATTTATTAATGTAGTTATCACTTGTCAAAATTGTAAACAAACTTCGAAATACGAAAGTCACTAAAAAGTTACTAAATAGTAAACTATTTTGTCGCTAGATGGTGTTACACGAAACTGTCAAAAAAATATGTCATTAAATTATTATTTAAGTTTAAATAGTTTTTATAATAGTATATTTGAGGTTTATTAAGTTTAAAATAAAAAGTTTGAAATAAAATTTTCCAAACTAACACTAAATATGAAAGAATTATGGTTTAAAATTGCAACATTTAGATAGAAGAGCACGGTCGTAAACAATGTAATCTTTCTAAAAAAAAGGTTTCAATGGTGTCCGTTTGGAGTTGTATTATCTTTTATGGAAAACGTAATTTCGGGGTGTAACATTTCTCGAATACAGGAAAAATCCTGTATACATTTAGGGTCCAAACCGGAGCAATATAGACGGCTTTATTCGCCGGCGGTCCGCGAAATGTTTCATATTGCGGATCGATTTGCCTGGCGCGTTATTCACGGGGGCGACGCATAAATATCTGTCGGTTTTTCCTTCTGGGACCGTCGCGAAATGGGGATTTACGATGCGAACAGTCCGCCGACCCGGACCGGGGGAGGTAGTTTTGCGACATTTTCCATTTAAATTAAATAAAAAAATAAATGCCAGAAAGATTTTACCCTTTCACGTTTTTATTTTCCTAACAAAATTTGATTATTACAAACAAAAAGTAAGTTAAAAAACGTTACTTAAGAGAAACATGCGTGTGTATGGGAAATGTTGAGACTATTACATACGGATTGTATAATCCAGTTTTATCTCGTAAAGTGCCGCTGTAAACTACAACTCGGTCTCCCGTTGCAAATTGAATAAGGGGGCCTTCCCGGGCTGTTCGCTAACTTTCTCGTTAATTACGACCGTACGAACGCCGAATTTGCTACCATCCGCAAATGTTAGTTACATCGCCGTCTCCAAAGCGGATTCGAATTTCACCCTCGCACAAAAATAACAACGTAGAGGTTTGTTTTAAATTTTTAACGTTTTAGAGAGACACACGAAAGTGCATCTGCAGACGGTCTAATTTCCCTTGGGGGCTCAGTTCCAGCGATCTACGTGCACACGCATACGTGTACATTTTTGACGAGAAATGGTCGTTTGAAGTCGACCAAATATTTTTACGCATCCGGATAACAGCCGGAAAGCGGAGGGAAAACTCCTCAATTCCACCAGGGCCGTTCCTTGGATCGTAAAAGGGTCAATAAACCCTTTCAGAGTTTCCTTCACGGCCCGACGCTTCTAGGAGGGTACGGAACCTGTTGAAGGAAAGACCCCCTTCGACATTCTGCTTCCGCATCCTGTGAAAATTCGATTTTAGCTTATGTTTATGCTGGACGCGTAACGTTAACGAATCGCGATTGTTACATAAAAATGATGGTAAAATTGATTTACTTTAATTTCTAAGATATAGTAAAAACTCGAAAACCGTGGATAAACCCGAAACTTTCACGTTCTAGGTCTTTCACACTAGCACAAATTAAACATAACGATTTTTTTGATAAATGTTGAAATTATCTGAATAAGAATCAAAAATGCTTTAATTTGATACCAAACGTGATATATTTGGGTTAAAAAATAAAACAGTTTGGTTAGAAACTGTCAAATGTCAAAATTAAATATAACGATTTTTTTGATAAAGATTGAAATTATCTGAATAAGAATCAAAAATGCTATAATTTGATACCAAACATGATATATTTGGGTTCAAACACGATATGTTTACGTCAAAAAACAAGAAAGTTAGGTTATAAACTGTCAAATATGTCAAATAACCGCCATTTTTTTTTTTTTTCCAAATCAAAGCATTTTTGATTCTTATTAAAATCATATCAATATTTATCAAAATTTATTATATTTAATTTTGACATTTGACAGTTTATAACCTAACTTTTTTATTTTTCA